ACATTGATTAGAACAGTGTTATTATTATTCCAAAGGTCTCAGAATTAGATTTTTAATTTGATTAGACTTTTCAACTTGGAATTGTTTAGTGCTAAAATCTTGGTGATTATCATCGGTAATACCAAGGTACTGACAAAGATAGGTAACACCACTTTAGCTTATCTTTTTGAACCCCAAAATGAAATGGACTTTACCTATGAAGCACTTCATTATCATGAATATTAGAGTGAAATTTTTGTTTCACTTTAAATGATTATAACAATATCAAAGGAATTATATGAATATGTTTTTTTTATCTAGCTATATCAAATATCTCATGGCACACCCTCATTGCCTAAATGAGACGAAGTCATTTTCTCCACCCCTTTCCATCCCAGTCAATGAGTGTGATAGTTTAAGGTTTTTCAGTAATATTTTCAACAAATGATTGCCAGAAGGATATACCTTGGCAGTTGCCAGTTAGGGTTGTCATAGAGACAAAGTAGTGCTACCTGGCTTGTAAGTTCCTTGGTTTATACCACAAGGTTTGTTTTAATCAGCAGTACACCGGGTTTCATAAGTGGCGTCAATCAATAGTCCCTATTATTTTTTTATTATTTTTTGTGGGAAGCACTGTGAGAAAATTATGGTTTCCCCTAAAGGCTGGCAAAATTTAGAACATGAACATGGATTTAGATATCTTGTTGATATATAATAATGTCAGTTTTCATATTTTATTCAATGGGTTAATACCACATTGACTACTTTTGTTCACATTGAAATATTATTGCTGTGAAGGTTTTGTAGGGGAAGTAAGGGTGAAATAATGCACATGAAACTACTTCCTATTATTGATAATGAAATGTCATTTATTGATAATTAATGCCAATACCATAATCATGATGTATACATCTCAACTTAAATTTTTCAAATGATAGTACCTGCCATTTGAATGTTCATCCAAAGTTTGAATGTGCAATTGGCTTCAAACTATGTGAAAAGTGCTTAAACTTCTTTACCCTTCAGGGATGAGTATGTCTTTAGCTGTTATGGCGTAATGGCCTATGACGTATACACAAGTCATGACTCGCAATAAGTGGATACAAAACTGTTAGTGCCACAGCATCATCTGTAAAAGAGTTAGAACCAGCACACATTCAAACCTTCCATGGACTGCAGTTCGTTATACAAAATGTCTCAGTAGGCCTCAACACTGGATGCCACTTCTGTGGATTCCAGCCTTCATATTTTGCAGCCAAAACAACTCTGTGCTTTTGGCAGTCAGTTGTAAAGAGCTTTTTACATGTAACAACTTTTGTGCACTCTAAATCTTCATGCTACCACTTCTGTATTGTTCTAACAGAGAATCCAGGGAGCAAGAGATATTGTTTTTTTAAGCTGCTTTGTTAGGGATAGATTGCACTTCATTTGATATTTCAGGAGAGGCAGCTTGTGATGAAGAGGCACCTTTGGGGCCCCCAGCCTTTCAAATGGGTCCAGAGGGATAGGGCCCTCCTGCAGACATTTTGAATTTAGTTAAGAAGCTCCTAGCCTATTCACTAGCAGATTCTTGGTTTGATTAATTATATCTCTGCTTTTAGATTTGCTTTATTAAGCTCAGTAACTCTTGCTACAGGACAGGACACTATGGAGAGCCACAGTGGCTTCATATAAACCTTCTGTTTCGTGATGATGAACTCTTGCTATATCCTATTTCTTTTGGCCCCTCACTGTCTATGGTATAATACTACCCCAAAAGCAACATGGCAGAAGAAATTATGTCATCAAGTACTGCAAAATTTAATCAATACAACTTAATCAGTGAATTATTGTTGTATTTTGAGGTTTGGGTGAAAGGGGAGGAGAATTACCATGTAGGCAATTTGTCCTGGACAAATTTCACTAGGGTGGGGGGCAGGGATGATAGCATTCTAAAGTGTGGCATTTATACAATCTCAATGTAGGAGTGGATATTTGAATGGCAGGTATAAGTCTCTATGTATATGTTTTTTTCTATGAAGTATACACATGTGATTTACTTCACATAAAGATTTAACAAATTCTTGTGTTTAACCCCTTCAATCAGCATGACGTGACCATCACATCATGAAAAAATTTGGCTTGAGGGGTGGTTGACGTGACCATGCCGTGATGGGGAAAAATGGCTGCGGGGTGGATGACGCAAACTTGCCGTAATGAGCGAAAAGACTTGCCACAAGTGCACAAACCTCTTAGAGTTTGATTAGACTAATTTGGTGTTTAGAAAAGCATTATTCCCATTGATAAATGAGAGTGGAATGTAGTGTCCATGAACCATGGCTTCCTTCAGAGAGGATGCCACTTCAATGCTATGCTAGTATCCTATTCCTGGCCACAGTGACTGGTGGTGCAGGTTGCCTTGCAGAAAATTAAATATTACTCTTTTCAACTTTGTGCTCTACTGACACCTGTGTTTGGGATGTGATAATAAAATACATATTTTCTGGTATATGAAATTGATGTCTTCAAGAGCTTGTACCCA